CAATCGGTTGAGCGAGCCTCGGCAACATAACTTTTGCACCGCAGAATCCGATTTAACGCCGGCTCGCGAAGCGGTGGACAGAATTTATTGAGTAATCGTAGACGGTCGTAGGAAATCGATGGCCGGCTACGCCGTGGCGCAACCTTGTTCCCTCATTTTTACCATTTTCCCCGTTGCCTGTATCGCGATAACGTATCTGTACCGAACCGTTTCCACGCGGACCAATTGCCGCGAAACAATTCCCCTGATCTCCGGCGGCTAGGGTAAACGGTAAAAAGGATCGTTCAGGCGGGAAAAAATGGACCGAACCGATCGATTGTCCTCGATGCGTTTCCGTAGAAGGGGAAATTTACACTCGAGTTTGAGGTTTTACGAGATTTCCGCGAAGCATTCGAAAGTACCTGATTCCGTGCTCGTTTCCCGTCGAGCGTGCAAAGTAAGACGCAAAATCCTCGACTTTTGTGCGAGATTGCGCTGCTCGAACACATTATATTCGAAAATCATCGCGCGTTTACGAGCGGTTTTATCGAATCGAACAGCAGAACTCCTGTAATATTTACGCGCTGTATTTTACGTTTTATTTTAGAAAATTTAATATAAAACCGTATCACTTTTATAAACAGCACGTGTCTTTATTTAAAAAATTCAGTACAAACTTAAAGTAACATTATTGCACGCGAACGGATGATTTAACGCGGCGTGGAAAAAATTCCCCTTCTTGTCCCTCGCGTCGAAACTTTCAAATCGTCTAAAGATTAATTTGCAGTTCCGAGTTGGCGGGGAATTGATCGAAAGCCAGGAAAACGGCGCAGTTCGACGACTGATTGGTTGTCGCGGAAAAACGATAAAAACCGTGTCACTCGATGGAGCGAGCGTGCACAAGCGGACCCTTGCCGACCCGTATAAGCGCGACACCGCGAGCGCCGCTCGCACGTGCAGCACGAAGAGTTTCCGAACCGCGTAGTGCGCTTGTGTTGCGGCCTTGAGAGGGGTTCTTTGTGCGGTTCAGCGTTGAACGTGGCTCACGTACACCGCGATGCAACGCGGCACGCTCGCACCTACGCGCACAAAGTCGCGCGATCTTGCGGGAGCACCGCTAGGGTTGACGTTGCACACGTACGAACTGTAACAAGTTGCGTTGTACTTGTGTACAAAGGGCACTCCATCTGACTCACGTGTTCGCATATGCTACCAGCACTCTTCTCCACTTCGTCCATTTGACGTAACACGTGTACATAATGTACATTGTCTTCCGTACATTTCTTGAGATGCAGTGAACGCGATTCGCTCGAAATTTTCTTGTTCCCCTCCTCTTTCTACTTTTCTTTTTTATCTCCACGCGCTTCTCTCAATTTTGTTGTTCCTCTTCTTGCTTCCTCGAGTTCATCTGTTTTTTCCTCAAGCCACGCGTATTATCTCTCCCGCTTTATCTTCGTGGTACTTTTTTACTCGCCGTACGCACATTCCTTTCCCGTCGTGTAGCTTGTGTTTTTTCTCTTTTTTTTTTTTTTTTGTCAAAACGCTTGTTTTCCCTCCCTCCTTTGTCTTTGTCCCTCGTGCTAACGTAACGCGTTTTCTTTCCTCCTTCCACTATTCCCTTGTTCTTTATATACTCGTTCTCCCCCTGTATATATACTTGTTCCCAGTCCTCTTCTTCGGTTGTCCCTCTTCCTCTTCCCTCGGATGCAAGCGGAGCCGAAGTTGCACGCGCGAGACCGCTAACACAGTGCATGCGGGTGTTGGCCACGTGCGCGCTGCACTTTTTGCTCGACTGCAGCGGCTTTTATAGGACGCGCGCTCTTGCTCCCTTTTCGGTCGCATCTAGCTTGCTCTTTATTCTTTCGTATCGCGAGGAACGATCTAGATACCCTGTTATTCGAACGTTCTCAAACGCTTCGACGTTAATCAGCTTATCAACGAACGCTCGAACAGAAGTAGATATTTTCCGCGATGCGAACCGCGGCAAAAGCGGATCGCCTTGAAACGGCGGGAAAGATAGCGAAAAGACCGCGGCTGGATAAGAGATTGAACGAAATTGAATCCCTGGTATAAATCAGAATTAGGCTGGCCATTCGTCACGCTTAACGTGGCCGTAAATTAACCGCGAAGCCGAGAGACTCCGTCTCTCTCGCGCGAACAGGTTATTAGCGAGCATTCCACGAGGTCGATAATTAGCGGATTCGTTTATTGTAGAAATCTCTTTCGGGAAAGGCTGGTTCTCACGCGGTTGAGTAGTGACATTTCGCGGAGGAAATGCGCGCGGTAGAAAGCAGACGAAGCGGAGGTTCTAGGTGGCTGAGCAGAGACAGGAGCGTCGATATCTTGGGATAAGCGAGTAACGTTGTCTCGCGCGGAGGCTGCGGGTTTTGCAAGCGGTGAAAAACGACGAGGGGCATCGTGGCTCGTCGGTTTTATTGCCGCCGCGAGATTTCGCGATCGCACCCGGCCACAGTCGAACGGCTAAGCGACGATGTGTGGCCGATGCTAGTACTCGCTCGCTCGAATTGCACAAGCGAAAGAGAGTCGAGAGTGGCTGCAACGCGCGCGGACGTTTACTCGAAATGTCAAGGATGAAACCGCGTGTGCTTGCTCGCTCGATTGCCGCTGGACGCCGAGACAATGGCGGCCCGAGGCGCGAAGAATTGTTATTTTGTCACGCATCGGCTCGATTTACGCGCACCCCGCGTTCCTCGTCGCGAAAAACCAACGCGCTTAAATGTTTCAGCGAGCCCACGGGCTAGCGCAGCGGTTCGAGGAGTGGGGCTTCTGAACAGATAACGTGACGATTGTGAAATCGAGTCATTGAGTTTGATTTAGAGCTAATTCTGCGTTGTTTAAATCACGCTTCTATCGGTAAATGCGATCGACACAGTTTTTTTATCATTTCTCTTGTTTCATGATTTAAGTACTCAACAAAAGAATGGTCATTGAATTATAAATGAGTGTATGTAGAGTCTTGTGCTTTACGCACTTCTTTAAAAATAATTGATTAATATTTTGAATAACAAATGAATCGTTAACAGTGAAGAGTGTCTATAAATAGACTACAATATTCAAGTCATATGAAAATTTATCTTAATCTGACATTATTGAAACTGATATATATACGATATCTAAAAATGTTTTACATAGTTATCTTTATCTTTATTTCAGAATATGCCATCAAATATTTATTTATTACAATACTTATCATAATTTCGTTAAATCTGTTCGGTGTAGTGGTTAAGAAGAATTAGGGATTTTAACAATGTGCTCGAGTTGAAAGAGAGTATTAAGAGACGTATATGCTCGTTTAATCCCGGTTAGTTGAGGTACGGTAGCAAATAATGGTGCTGCTGGATGAGTCAGTGATACAAGCACGATTATTCATACGTCCGCGCGATACGATGCGGTTTAAGCGTCTCTCAGATTCTGTACTGCGACGTATTCAAATTTTCTCAAACGTTCTCATTACGTGGTTAATCATTGCAAAAAGATATATAAGAATGATAGCCTGTGAAAAATCATACGCGAAACCATTTTCTTCCATCCACATGCGCGCGTAACGTACCCCTATAACCAGGCTAATTACCATTCTGGTAATTGTACGTACTGCGTCGCAAAATGAATTAAACAAAACAGAACGGTTAGAAGTAGCGTACCCAACGAACAAATCCTTATGGTCGCCAAGAGAAGGCTTCGTTGAGGTTAATTACCATCGGCCATGACCTCTCGTGTATCCCGCTCTTAATTATATCGAAGGCGGCGTAGAAACGAGGCGACAACTTCTCGAATGCATTTATGTTTACCGGTTTCGGGTGAAATTACGCAGCGTTTATCTCGTCGGGACGTCGGAGAGACAGAACGAGTCACTTATCAATCGGAGAACGCTTCTTTTCTCGGAATAATTGTCGCTGATAAACGGCTTGGAAAGCGTACGTTCATTGACGAGACACGCGGTCTGCCATGACCGCTCGATAATCTAGCTTTTCCCATTTATTAGTATTGCACGAGACCGTGTTATTTTCCTGAATTATTTCAATTTAAAAAATGGTTCATTTTGTTTCTGCGGCGATTGATTTCAAGTCGTCTTTTCGAGGAAACGCGTTTCGAATGACTCTGTTCAGACACGTAGAAATTCAAAACCGAAGTCTAACGTTTGGAGCGTTGCAAATTTTCAGACAATCATTAGCCAACAATGTCGTTGCCTGGCATTACAGAGCAACGCGATTGCCTTACCGTTGTCTATCTCACAGTGGCATTAAACCTTATAAGCGAACCGGCCGTCTCAGCGTGCGTAGATAGATCGTAGCATTTCCATTGTGCGTGACGCAACTCCAGCTCTGCGCCGCGATTAATTATCGATGGTAAATTCAGATATGTTGAATCGCGTTTGCGGTTTCGTCGAATGCTCACAGGCTGTATCGCGGGGCCATCGGTTTTCGGTAAACGTTAGAACGGATCGCCCCGAGGCTTCTAAATGGCGACGATGAATTCACCGAGATCGCTATCGAGGAAAGTTTGAACTTTAAGATCGGATGTAAGTTCATTTCACAGTATCGTGCGGTTGTTGGGTCGAATTTAACAAGATATAACTTAGGTCGAGATTAATTTAATAAACTATAGATATTTATCTACATTTCAGATATTTTGCAGTCCGATAATTTTCGGCAGTCTAATAGTTAATTAGATAAGTGGTAGACGTTATATGATTGGAAAGCTTGTTCTGGTACCTTAATTGTTTCATCATCCTTTGTTGGTTAAGCGGGATAATAAAAAGGGAAAGCTGCAAAGCAGTGTAATAAGTAGGATTTGTATTGTATGTAACTGCTATTAAATCTAACCCTGACGTGCCGTGTTAATTGCAGTGGGTACAAAAGTAACGCTTTTTGTTTTTTTTTTTTTTTTATTTGAATTTATTTCCATCACGCTTACAATACAATAAAGTACCATAATTTCGACAATTAACATTAACAAAAATTTTTATCCTCGTTAACAATTTAAATTTTTCTTTGTTACAGATCGGATACCACGGCGAGCAGCCGACGGTTTTGGATCCCGAGAACACCCGGTGGTCTTGGTGGACTCTGACCTGTCCCGATTACCGTTGCCAGATTTGGTATTGTCCGCCGTGGAGCAACTTCCGGCCGCGACGCCTCAGGTGACCGTGTCGGCGCCAAGCAGCCCTACCAGGGACGCGGCTTTTCAGTTTCCGGAATGCAGCGGTGACGAGAACGTGCTGGCACCGACGCCTAACCCTAGGCCACGGCCACGAAGACGCAGGCTCGCGTCCGAGTGCGGTGGCGCCGCTGCCATGAAGAAAGGACCCGCAGAACCTACCTGCAACAACTGCTGCGGCCACTTCGGTCAGGCATTCAACGAGAGCCAGTGGGCGAACGTGGGTGCCAACCTGAGGAACATTGCCGACGACTTCCACGCGTCCAAGACCAAGGTCGGTACACTAATTTCATTAATTAATTATGTTAAAAATAAAATTATTCAACAACATGCACGTTACAAAAGAATTCCCCCCAAAATTAAACGATTTACAAAAAAACTGAAGTTAACAAGTTCGCCCTTCCAGTAGTTCTTTATCTCTTTTCTACATTCGAGTAAACCACCCATCTAGAAAATTAAACATTTTAAAAAGTATCCACACAGTGGAAATATAAAAACCGGAAGCACACATTTTCCAGCATATTTTTTTCTCCAACGAGATCAACCAGACAGAGACGGAACAATTTTGTCGGTCATCCGACGAAACGAATGCTCCGGGTTTCCCTTTGTTTTCAACTTTCCGCGGTTGAACGCGCGGCTTATCGTCGCTGGGAGCGGTAACGCGAACTGTTTACGACGCCGGTGTACAGGTGCAAAGGCGGTGTGCTCGGCATAAAAATAATTGCATCGCGTACCCTGTCTGTCACAATTCCAACCTCCACCCCCGTGGTGTTTTTCATCCGTCGTAAAACTACCCCTGGCGTCCGCGCGAACGCGTTATAAAAGCCGGCTGAAACACGGGAATGTCAGAGTCGTGTAAAATAAAATTCGTACCGCGTTGCTACTTTCGCTTACTCAATTTGGAAATTAATTTTACCGTCCGCTTCTCGACACACCGAGAACTGTCCAATTAATGTGTAAGGGATGAAATAGAAATTGAATAATGTTCACTGATTCATGACAGAAGTGATTCTTAGAAAAATCATGTTCCTTATCTAAAATTCTGTTCATTAAGGTGTCTACGGTTTCCCAAAAAGCCATTTACCTCGGAAATAGCCAGGTTTCGATATCCACGATTTAATGGCCCCACGAATGATTCAGTATCTCTCGTTTCCTCGTTCCTATCTTTCTCTCTGTCCGAGTGTATCGGAAGAAAGGAGAGAAATTGTCGTCTGGAGTGGGTCAGACGTGGCCATAAACGCGAATTTAGTTATATTGGCGGCAGCGTCGGTGTCCCACGGGCGCAATAAATATCTGCCCGCCACCGTTAAGACGTCTAGTATTGCTCCCAACGTGTATGACCCCTGCCACTTCATCACCGTTCTCTGCCGATCGCTCGATCAAATATGTATCGACACCCGAAACGGGTGCTCCACTGATTTTACGAGCTCGCCTCCGCTTGTTTGTCGCGCTTTACCTCTCCGCCGTGCCGGACGCTCGAGGTGAGAAAAATAGGATGCCCGACGGTTTTATGGCGGGACGCGTCGCTTGTACAACGTCCTGCTGAAATTGATTGCGAACGGTCGTAAAGGAATTACGGAGAACCGTCGATAGAACGAGAATAGATGGGATGTTGTTGTTAGGTTCGATGGAAACGGGGAAAGGGTTTAGCATGTACCAGCGACCAAAGGTACACCGTGTTATTCGTCGGACGATGTTTCTATGCTTTCTGAACTTTAATTGATATCAAGGCGTTGATCGTTAAATTCATCCTAAACCAATCTCTGATTACACAATCGCGTTAATTTCATCGGAACGATACAAGGAATCGAAGTTCTAGACCAGCGAATCGATATAAAAACAGAAGTAATCCCTGAAGCAGTCGATCGTGACCCGTGAGATCGTCGTTTCTGCGGACTCCGGACGATTATTACGCCCGTCCTTTCTGCTGTACGTCGGCGGCAAGACCGGTGAGGAGTCCTTTTACCGTTTCACGAGATTCCTCGTGATTTACCGTGGTCGATTGAAAGAAAGAAGCGGAACTAACGACACAGCGAGAGGGGACGAGCAAGGAGAGGAAAAGAAAGATGAACAAGGGTGGAAGGGCGTGACTCTTTTATCCGTCTCGGGTTGATTCGCTTTAAAGGTCCGCGGCACCGTGATACCCAATCCTGGAACGTCTAATTATTGCTGGTTAAGTGACGGTAATTGAAGGGGGCGAACGGATCCGTGAAATTAAAGAAATCTCTGCCGCCTTTGGCCCGCGCGTCGGGGATCTGATACCGATCGGTTCTACGGCTCGGTAACTCGAGCAACTGGCTTGGCTTGTTGATAATACGAATCGTGGCGAATTCTCGACCAGGGAATTGTCTCCTCGAGGATCTCCTCCGTTGTTGTTTGCCTTCATCCCTCTGGGGGAATCGAAGTGTCAGATTAATCCGACGATGGTCCGGAGAGACACTCTGTTTCCCCGTGTTCTCAGAGTACACTCGTGGATTTGGATCATCCATTTGATACCCTGTTTCACTTACTTCTGGCTGACAGTATGGGAAAAATATTAAGTGTTAGATATATTTTGGGCACTTATATAGAAAGTTAATAAAATTATATTCTAAATAAAAAGAAAATTTTCTATTAGGTAGAGAAAATATAGTGCTTTTAGATAAAACGCTACTGTGTGACAGAGTGAAATTATTTCATAGTTTCCGGAAACTTTCTCCGTACGATAAGAGCAGGTGTTCTCAGTCGCTCGTTTTCCACGTGAAATATCAATAACTCGTTGATTGTAAACTGTCTTTACTCGATGTCATTCCGTCCCACCTACCCGTCCGTGATGTCTATGGGGTGAAAGGAGAGCCGGTCGATCGAAGAACAAGTAGTCGTGCGCGAGTTACGAGCCCCTTCTTTCCCCAATGGTCATGGGAAGCCAGCGTTTTACATATGCATGGAGAGTAAGCGAGCATGTAACGGCTAAGTGGTCACATCCCCTTACGTGAAAGTTAAGTGGGCATGGCAGCACGAGCCGTGGCCACGGGCCGAGAAAATTATCTTCAATTATCTCGTGCAATCGCGAGCATTCTTTCTCTCCTTTCCTCCTGCTCGCAATTCCCTTTGACTTCTTCTCTTGCTTCATATTCCGCGGAGATTCCGTTTAACGCGTTAACTACCTTGGAGTTTGCTGAATTTAATCTGATCGCATACAAAAATGAGGAGAAAAGGAAAATTGCACTGACAATTTGAAATATTATATGGAAGCATTAGAAATAAAATGGACAGAAAATTTTCTATACAAATTACCTTCGGTTAATCCGTAATAAATTCTCGTTTAAAGGGACATAACGTCCAAGTACCACGATTATATTTTCCAAGAAGCTTCTTAACCAGCGTTCACGGTAACGGGGAGAAAATTGCACCACGGACGCAGTGCAAGACCGAGTTCCTCGCGGTGGATCGGATTTCCGCGAATAGGGAGAGCAATCTTGACCAAGGCGCAGCTAATGAAACGTTGCACCGACATTTATCAGTTATTCAAACGATCATCCGACGCGCAAATTGATACATTAACCAGCAACCAGCGCCGGTAGCATAACGGATCTCTCTCGGTTGGTAAACAAGAAATGGTTCTCCGGGTTTTCTTGCTAACAGATCGGTCGTCTCTTCTAGAGCACGCGATCGTCCTTAGCTCGACGTCTTACTTTCGTCGTTTTAACAAACCCTCGCGAGAATCCGACCTCGCTGAGAGATTTTACGATCCATGGCACCGGTGTGTTTCTGCTACCTGGCCTACCTCAAAGTCTCGACCGCAAACCTCCGTTTTCCATTGACTTTTTCTTACGTGACTCGGCGAAACTGAGCTGCTCGAACGGCCGTTTCCATGGCGAACCGAGCAATTACGTTGCACAATAATTCTGGTGCAGTAGCCGGGGCTGCTAGTCGGCTTCTATCGAGACACTCGTTTATCGTTTACATCGTTACGGTACATGTTCGAGTCAAGCCTAATGGTTATCGAGAGGAGTGTTGTTCCGATTGTGTAGATTTTTCGTTGTGGTTCGTGATTTACGATAAGCGCGACCACGTGGAAGGTGTATTGTTCTTTTGTGGTGGCTCGTATCAATCTTTTCACGATATCAGTCATTGTTTTCAGTGGTTAAGCTTGGGAGATAGAATCTGTTGATGGAGTTGGTCAATTTTTATTTCCTAAATCCTACGATTTGCCACTGTAAAAGTTTATCTTCCAGTTTGATATACAATATTTTCATAATTGATCAGATATCAGTCTTCATAGTTTAATTGGTTTTCAAAGTTCAACCTCTGGCCCTCGAAACCGATAGGCTACATCCTTACGACAGAAAAACTTCTATCTGTAACAAGATTCCGTGATAGAATTTCCCAAGGAGGCGGCTTCTACCGTGCATCTCTCGCGATGGTGGAAGTTTAATTAAATTTGCAACGCACGCTTTCTGAATCGACGATGCGTTTCTTAAACGAATTAAAGCGCGATTCCTGCCGGCTTAATTAATGACTATTATTCTGGATACTCGAATTAACCCTTGCATGATTAATTTTTGAAAATTAAAAGTGGGTAAGAATCGACGAAACTTTTGCAACAGAAACGATACGCTGTTCGTTACGCAACTCTCCTCCGCGAACAATTCGCATTTACTGTCCGGGCAACGATAAACTTGAAACATCGTAATCACCACGACCCGGTCGTGAGCATAAATTTCGCGTTTAACCGCTGGACGAAGCGCGAGCGAGCGAAATCGCGTTGCTCAAGCGAGCGTTCTCTTCCGGGCCTAGAGCGATAAAAGCCGACCGCCAGCTTTTCATACGGCAACTTCGAAAGAGAGAAAGTCGTCGTAGTCGCAGGTGGCTGTAGACGCGTGAAACAACAACCGTCACGCCCAGTTCTCACTTCCTCGGGACGATTCCGGATAAAACGAGGGTGAAAAGAGCTCGTACGAGAGCGTTACGGGGGTAGAGTGTCTCGATGAGAGTAGAAACAAGGCGCGAAGAGTACAACAGAAAAAGGGGACACTATTAATTGACGAGGAGGACTCCCACGAGAAGACTCCATACACCATAATTCTTTCTTAATGTGACGCTTTCCTTAGCTCCTATTGCTCTCACCCTCTAAGCGTAAGAGATTACGCTCAGACTTTCTGTGTCCACACGCGTATACGTAGATGTATTTGCGGAGAGACGAGGAACGAGTCTGATCGAAGCCGACGATGACCAGATATTATAGCCACCCCATAAAAGCCTCTGCTCTCGGAGATTGAGCTCTCTCACCCTGTTTCTCGCCGTTTATTATTGCACGTCCGGCCAGCGCGAGTGGATTAAGACGAAACGAGGATCGGAAGTCGTGTACGGGCAAAGCTTGCGGCTCAAGGGTGGCGTGATCAAGGGGAAACAAAGAGTATTTTTCGCAGAAAGATATATACGATTGCTCGTGGGAAACATTACCTTGGGAGCTTAGGGGGTGGGGCTTGATACGGATCTTCGATCTCGAAACGATTAATATTTTAACGAATCGTTATCGATAACCGTTCGTCGAGTTGATTTCATCCTCGACGACTAATTGGATAATGAATCGCTGCTGGAAGTTGTAACGAAGACGTTTTGTACCGGGCTTCGAGGGGGTGAGGCGCGATTCTTAAGCGAGAGGGAATTGCCTCGAAGTGGAAATTAATTGACAATTAACCGGTATTAATACGCTCTGCTTTCTGATTTGTGTTTCGAGGGAGTGACGATGGACCTTCGTCGGGACATCCCTCCTTCCTGCTCTCGTGTAAATTCGAAGGGATAAGGGAACTCGATAAAAAAGGAGCGTGGAGCTTTTTCTATGCCCGGAGGCTTAGCCGCAAGGAGTGTCGAATCGATGGTAATTCCGTCCAATTAGGACACTCCCAATTAGGAGCCTTAGCCCCGTTCCCTTCTTTCCTCGCTCACCCTCGTTCCACCCTGCGGTAGCCCCTCTGATTCTTGCCACGGGATCGAGGAAGACATCGCGTGCAAGATTTTAAGAATCGTGAGCAGGAAGTTAAGGGTGAAAATTAAGAGTAAATTTTCTCTACAAGTATTTATTTTTATAAAAGGGATACAATTTGGAGGACAATAGTCAGGGACGAATATAAGGTATTGACGTATCGTTTCCGTTTCCTGTTTCAGGCGGCCGAGATCGAAAAGTCCAGACTGCCCGCGATGAACCCGGGCTTCGCGAACTCCGGCAACGCGACCGGTTCCACGGACAGCCTCCTGTCTCTGTTGATCCCAGCACCACTCCGGGAGACCCTGTGGACGACGGTGGCCCTGTACCTTGGTTGGAGATTGGTATCTCGTCTTCGATAGATGCGACAGTATCGTCCCGTTGCCGCGGCACTCGGCGACGGCGATGGCTCGAGGACTCGAAGAACTATCATCGACGCTTGGAACGGCACCAGAGGCGACCAGGACGACGAGCTGTCCACTGGTGAACCGGCAACTGGTCCTTCCAGCTCGTCGGGGATTCCTCTTCAGGGTAGCCACTCTTCTGGAGGTTCTTCCAAGATCGATGCCACGGCTAGAAGAATTGCGAGCAGGACGAACGTACGGACACCAAGGTTCGATGGTACGAATGTCGGCGGACCAGAAAGGAGGGATGACTCCTGGTGGACGTCCTGCGGCAACATCCAACACGATCTACGTTACGATATATTTTCTATGTATACCTGTGTTTCGCCGACGATCGAGAATGCACGTGTGCTGTTTCATCGCCTTTGGCCCTTCCTCGATTTGTATCCTTATGTTAGGAACGAAGAACGGGAGGAACAGGACGAGGGATTCGAGGAAGGTGACAAGGACGAGGATGATATTGTAGATAACGGGATGAACGACGACGACGACGACGACGACGACGAGGATGGAACTCTTCGATCTGTTGCTTGTCGAAGAGTCAGAGTTACCTGAATTACCATTTCGATGATGTCTCTCGCGTTAGTACTTTGACGATTGATTGTATACCATGAAGAGAGAGCCAAGTGATTCTGGCTCGACGACGAGCAAAATGTTCGTGGATCATTGGCAACGATATCTGTCTAGCTGATATTCCTCGTTCGAGTCAAACTCTTCATGATCGTCAGGCGGATCGATTCGCTGGAAGATCGATCAACTGGAGACACGTGTTTCAGGTGCATTCTCGCTCGTTTAGGCGAGACATGGTCACGTTAATGAACAGAGAGACCTGTTCGTTGGACCGTGTGCTCGATCGTCCGCCTTCAGGTGTCACAGTTGAACACGTCAGGTAAGAGAAATATGATGTTTCTCGTTTTAGAGTTGTTTCTTTCGAAGAAGGTGACGATCGTGACACGGGTGTCTTGGTGAGGGTTACGGGGAGCTAAGGACGAGATCCAAAGAGGACAACCCAATAATCAAATGATGATCTCATTACGGATATAAAATAAAGAGAATTAAATAAAGTAGTGTGATTACGGGAACGGGGCAGGTAGGGAAGACGCGCGATTTTTTCTTTCACGGTTATTCGTCTGTTTCTCTCTCGCTCACTTCTCTATGTGTGTCTCTATATTTTATTCGTAAGACAACCGATTTGTCCCGTTCCCGTCGGTAGGAAGTTATTTTGACGTGGCTTGTAGATAACGCGGTTACCTAGCCGATCCAGGCAAGGCAGAACTCAATCTGGGATATAATGACACCGGGTCATGACGTCTCGCAAACGATCGAAGATCCTTCAACTTTTCATCGCCTAGACAAATTAATCGGAAGTCGTAGAAATTTGAAAGAAAAAAAAAAAAAAAAAAAATTCCACAATTTTCGACGTTTAGATAAATCGGCAAATGAAAATCGGATCGGATATTCGAGAATTGTCAGACGTTTATGGCGATGGTCGAATCATCTGTACATAGAAAGTATCTCGAGGAAAGTCTCGGTATATTCCAAAAACAAAAAACAAAAAAATGAGAAAAATGTAAGAAGCAAGAATGCGAGCCAGGTAGGGAAACGGGCGAGGACACACGTAACGTGAGAGGGGAGCAAAGTACTGTATTGTATAGAGGATTTAAACTAAAATAATAAAATTCAGTAATAAGTCGACGTTTTTAATAATTAAAGTAGATAATCGATAGACCGAGGATCGCAGCATCTTAATTGGCTAGCTGCGAGTCCCGTGTACAGTTTTCAAATGATCTCCGGTAGCTTAGCTCTTAGTGGGCGCCCTCCTCCACGAAGGACGCCTTTTTTGGCACTCTGGAATCAAGGGCTTTCACCCTTCGCTCTGACGCGCCACTTTCTCTCTTTCTCTATTTCTAATTTCTTTATTTTCCATCTTCCGTCTATCTTTTCTTTTCTTCTTGTCCATTAACTTTGGTCTCACCGTTTCTTACTTTCGATTTCTATCTTTTTTTCTCTTCTTTCCTTTCTGTTTCGTTACACGTCGATCCTTGCGATTTCGCGTAATTAATTAATTGATCTCGTTCATTAGCGTGTATTTAGGTCTCGCTGTTTGCGTTCCCGATAATCGGGCGGTTTCTCGTCCCAGCGAGAACATTCATAGATGTTCGGAGAGGAATTTATAATTAAAGGATAGTTAGTGTCCCTGTTCGGGATCATTCGGGGTTTCATCCTCGAGGTTTCGGACGGGATGAAACCAAAATCATCATAAGGCTGTCGATACGATAGTGTATTCCCGTGGACTGTTCTGTCTGTCTGTCTATCTATCTCTGTCTCCCGAGTAAAGACTTCGCTTTATTTTATGATTATATATTTTTTTTTTTTTTCATTACCAATATTTTTTCTCATTACAATCATTATGATTAATTATTAATTATTATTATTAATATTATTACTTTTTATTATTGTTTGTCTGCCTTTTTCTCTTCCACCTTAAATTAACAGATAAGCATTCGTGACGTTACTCCGTCAAAGTATTCCAGTGTGTAGAAAGTAATAGTATTTATTTATAGGTAAAAAAAAAAAAAAAATCGCGTATTCGTCTGTGTCTAGAGCCGCGCGAATTTATGCATAGAAATATCGTATTGCCATTCGTCCTAACGAAACACGCACGAAAGGTATCGTTAAGATGAAGAACAAAAAAGGTAACATGAAAAGTTGGAATTTTCACGTATAGAAAGTCAATAGAAACGAAGGAGAAATTGTTTAGAAGGTTTCCAGGACGAAAGTTCCGGATAGGTGTGACTTTTGAAAGATTTTCAAATCGTTCGCTTCATCGTCACGCGGAGCCGAATCGTTCGACGGACGAATTACCTAGAGTCTTGATGTTCTTGTCGTAAAATAGTAACTTAAATATAGGGTATTTTTTACGAACTACAATCTCGTCGCCAGAAATACTCGTTATTTCTGGGGAGCACAAGTTCTGTGCGGTGAACCGGCCACCTTTCGCCCCCTTGTGTTTCTCTTTCTTCAATTGTGATTTCTTACGATGATAAACCAATTAGCCGTTCTTCTGTTAATTTAATTTAATTTTTTTTTTTTTCGTTTCTTCGAATCCTCTCTCTCGTTCGTTTATTAGGATATAATGCATCTAAAAATTGTGATTAATTCGTTTATTATTATCGTATTACGTAGGACTCTAGAAAAGATCGTAGAATTTTTGTCCCCTTGAAAGTGTTCTCTCCCTCTTCCCAAACATCGTCCAACCAATTTATTATTATTATTATTAATCATTATTCGGCGAGGTTCAGCAGCAACTTGTCTCCGGCTTTTCGTCGTTTTCTAGGTTGATTTCATAAGATTTTTTGTCGATCGAGTTTTCTTCTCTCCTCTATATTTACCTGAGGAGGGGGTAAACGCGAGAGCGAGCAGGATCGTCGTACAATTGTGATGTAATAAGATAGTAACTGCCATTGGTGGCATCGCGAACTGGGAGCCGAGCGTTAAAGGTGCTCCTCGTGTTCGCGATAACTTTTTTATATAGCATTCCGACCAAAGGAAAGGTAGGAGAGTTCGAACGTATGAACGTGGTGCGCACGTAGAGAAAATCGAAACTTCCTGTTTTCCTGCAGCGCGGTGAAACATGCGCGCCCAGTGTTCCGCCTTTAAGGCTACCGTGGTTTCGTTTCATTTTTTTCCAATATTTTTTCCTTTTGTTTCACCGTTCTCATGTTTTTCTCTAGTTATTACGTGTCAAAGGATAAAGGTACCAATCGAAAACACGAAAAAATTAATCTCAATATAATAGTCAGTTGGAGAAGCAAAACTAAAAAGAAACCGAGAGAAATACGATATAGAATATAATAGAAATTAATAAATAAAAAACATTGAGAAAACGCCTTGTACATAGACGCTTGTTCGTGGCCCCGTAAATTACCATAGTCGTGTCTACGATTTCTCTATCCACCCTTCATTTTCGCTCCGTTTATTTTTCGTATGTTCTGTTTTTGTTTGATCTTTTGGTTGTTTAATTATTATTTTTCTTTTCTTTCGTTTTATTATACGGTGTCCTTTTCCTCAGTTCGTCTCGTCTCTTTTCCTCTTGTTTCTTTATTCGGTTCGATCTATTACCACGATTTAGAGAAACGATAAAAGAAAATAAAAGAAACCCAGTAGGAGCATTTTTACGTAGCGTTAGCAGTCAGCCATATTGAGAACGTATTAATTATACGAATAAATATGAATAAAAAGTATATATATATATTATAATGGAAAACACTTATATATATAAATATATATATATATATTTTAAATGGTATATTTGGATATTATATATTATTATTATCGAAATATTATTTCGAGACGTACCGTGCGATATAAAGAAAAACTAAAAAAAGTATAATGGTAGTCGTATATCTCGAAAGGGCGAGCCCGAAGCGAGTAAAGTGGAAAAGTGGATAAATTGATAGAAAACAAAAGCAAGGGTGAAATGAAAAATGATGACGTTTCCCGTTACGGAGACGATGATCTTTTTTTTTCCTTTGAGATTGACGATGATCGGCGAAACAGCCGAGGCTGGGACATAAGCTGTAACTGTGACTATGTGGATCGTGGGGGGCAGGCTGTGTGCTATGAATTTCTTTTCTTTTTGGACTTTGAATCATTCTATTCTTGATGATTGTCGATTTCAATTGACATTGATCAAGAATATCCACTTTAGTTAATCTGTTAATCGAGTGTGACCCGGTTTTGATCACTTTTCAATAGATAATAGAACATTCGTAAACAAAAATCTTTAAAAATCAAATGATGGAATAAAATTAAAAAAACTCATTAACGTTTTATCCAAAAGTCAGTCGGTTAACGGGTTAACTAAATGAAATACAGTAAAACCTCGATAAGTCGTCGTCTTTCGTCAAGGGATCGAGAAATTTTGACGATTTAAGCGTAGTAAAAACCATGTAAATTTTTAAATGACGAGGAAAAGAGAAAACGACGACTTATCCGGGTGACGATTTATACAGGTTTTACTGTATTTAAAAATCGAGTCAATCCAATGATATTTTCTTAATTATCGAAGGAAACCTCGAAATCCAAAGAATCGAAGTCATAATCGTGTCCAGTGATCGAAAGGAAATTGCAGAAAGTAGTAACGAGAAGGAAAGCAGCCCGCCCATCCGAGATCCCCGCGCGTCAAAGCGTCTCTGTGATCTCGTAATTATTAATGAAATATCTGATTATTATAACGAATAATCGTATGAATATTATAATGTACCGTTCCCCCTTTTATATCCCCCGCCCCCTTTTAGCCCAGTGAATAAGAGAGAGAAAGACCCCGAAACCTTTTTGGATAAAGGTAATCGCGTTCGATTTGTCGCATCGGAATCGAGCATCTTTCGTCCTCTCGTTTGTTTCTTTTCTTGGTGTCTCGTTTCGTTTCGACCTCCTCCTACACCCTTTAATTAAAATTAGTTTTCTTGCACCAAGACCCACGCGTTACCTCGTAATCGTTGAATGTTCATTGTAAATTGAAATCTTTCCAAATGATCTCTCGATGACGCGTATTGGTAACAGATCAGTGATCTCTGTTTCTTTTCATCGATTTAGTTCTAATTTCTTTTAATAGATATTTTTTACGAACCGTGAAACAGATGTCATTGATGCTCGTTGCCGATCACGACCATCGATTTACACGGAAATGTGACGTTTTAAGAGGGAAAGGCAAATCACTGTTCGACGTGGAAAAAAGCGACGCGTCCTTGTGGAACGATCTACAAACGATGCACAAGTTCGAATTACGGGAACGAAGATTGATTATCGAGTTTGCGTTCTGCGCTCCATTAATCGGCCACGAGGCTATCGTTGTCGATCATTCATTATTATTAATTGCGTGTAACCCCATCGCGTTGTAACCCGTGTAGCCATCGAGCCTGAGAGCCCGTTGCGAACAGCTGATCGACTAGTCTTTAATATCGGACCAACCGTGCTAGTTTTTTCTGTTCTTTCTGTTTTCTCCTCCTTTTTTCTATTCATTTCTCAAATTTCTTTTCCTTCGTTCTTGAAAAGTCCGATTTTTTCCACGCGAACTTTTCGACCTCGAGTGAGGCAACGCGTTCAATTTCAATCTGTATTTTAATCCCCCCCCCCCCCCCTCCCTCGTATGATTTGTTTTCTCCAAATAACATGTTCTCCGCCACTGAATTTGATTAAATAATTAGAAACTGAATGCAATAGATGACACTAAGATCGTACTAATATTGATACTTTTACTGTGGCGATCGACATGTTAACCATTGATTTAAATTAACCTTAGACGATAAACTGAAATTTTCTAGTATTTAAACCGAGGCCAAGTTGCATTTGTTCCGCAATATTTTACATCGTTTGTTTCTATATGAAAATAACGACCTCGATTTAAATATCTACACGAAAAAGTATATTTACGAACGTATTTAACGATGAGAAAAAGAGAATTGTATGTGAATGACACGCATATACACTTGTATTACATACACACACATACACACACACTCGTATACAAAACAGAACATAAATGTTGCCGAACTTGTAATTAATTGTATTAATCGCGCGCGCGTGAGATCGAGCGAGAGGGTAATAAGAAGAAGAGAAAAAGAAAGCGAGGAGAAGTTTCGTTTGCTCAGACTGTCCTAAGTTTTGCCATATTTGAGAGAAGAAAAGCGAAAAATAGAAAAGAAGAAAGAGAATTAACCGAGCGTTTCTTTGGCTCTTATTTACAAGTCGTGAGTGTAAAATAACGTTTAAGAAACTGCGACATTCTCCGTCGTTCTTGTCCACTGTGCGCATACAAGTGCCAATCACGATAAAATAGCGACGAGAATTTCTTCTTTATAGTCGTCGGAAACGGAGCACGTTTGCCATTTATGTCCCTCAAATTTCCGCTTCAATCGATGCCATCTCTCTCGAAGTGACTCGCTCACCATCCTCGATGCATTTATCTTCACGATTATTTTCGATAGAAAATTATAAAAGAAATTTCCTGTGTAACAACTGTGTTCGAAATAAAAGAGACAAGAATGAAACGTCGAAGAAAATCAATAACTTGATCTTTTTCTTTCTTGAACAAAAGGTCACTCTCGAGAGGAACCGTAATCATTCGCAATGTTCGATCACGTGTAATCGTTGAATGTGTGCTCCGCTTAAAATTAAGACGATCTATGTACAGTCGTGTGCAATTTAGGCCTCCCTCAACCCTTTCAATTATTTATCTCAATATCTGAATGCAAGTAAAATTCTATCTGCAATAAGGAGGTGTTTTGATTTTCAATTTCCATTGCATGGTTTTTATTTTGAAATATAAAAGAAGAAATGTACGGGGAGGAATGTTCCTAGGATCTTCCTAGATTCTCCAAAATCGAAGGCAAATGACCTCCTCCCCTACGCTCACCCTTAGCTAAAGGAACCCTACGTTGCATCCGAATGTACACCCCTGATTACGCTAAAAAAGCACGAAAACAAAAAAAAAAAAAGATATGTTTGACGTTACCTGTAGTCAAATGTCCCGTGGACCATATATAGACCGCCGCGATCTGTTCGTAACGGTGATTGTGAGAAAGAGGGTTGGGAATCGTGTGATGAATTCATCGGATTCATTTGCGAACGCGCGAAACAGTATGCATGAGAGAATGAAAAGCTGAGGACGAGAAGAGAGATGACGAGCATGTGGT